GCCACAACGCCCGGCTATTTTTTGGTTGCAGCCGTCATTGTTGTTTGGCGGGCCCGGGCTGGATTCGAACCCGCCACCTTAGGTGTATGTGGCTGGTGCCTTAGCCGCTTGAGCCACAGGCACTGAGCCGGTTGAGACTATTAACTTAAATTCTAGTAACAGAAGGTTTTGTTTCCAAATCCTAGCTTAAAATATAAATAAGTAGTTTTTTTAACATCTGAGGCATATGCAGATTTAATTGCACTGTACTTTAGGTAATTTAATATCGATTTCTTATTGATGAGTACGTATACATTACTTGATGATGTGCGTTTCACTGTCACTTTGTAAAGCCCTGCTAGTTTCAGTAATTAGGAACTGAAAAGGCCCTGCACCCCAACAGCTACTCTAAGGCTCCTGATGCACATTTTTGCACAGAGGTAAAAATGAAAAAGCTGTTCTGGCAGAACTGACTGTACTGCCAAAGAAAGTGCTTTTTGGAAGTGTCTTCCCTTCTTTATAAAGAAATCATGTTTTTAAAGAAGGAAACAGTAAACACTGAATGAGCACATGCGGGTGCCCCCGGTGGTGTTGCTCATGGATGGTCCCCATCAAGTCCATAAAGTCTGTTTAAAACACAGGCTGGAGACCACAGAAGAGGGCAGTGCCACAGAGTGCGTACTTAAGCTAGGACTCCACCTCAATGGAGAGCAGGGGGAAGACACAGCTGTGCTCAGCTTTCTGGACAGAGCTAGAATTAGCCTTTACCTGACCTCCTTGCCCGTGGCCGCTTTCAGGTTGCAGGTGTGTAGTCTTCATTTGGGAGTTGGATTGGAACCTGGCTAAATTTGTCAGTTTTCCTTTTGAATTTATATGACTTACAAAAAAACTTTCATTATTGGTATGTCTTTTCCTCTTTTTACAGGCAGGTAACTTGCAGACTCACTTACGTCGGCATTCTGGAGAAAAACCATACATCTGCGAGATCTGTGGAAAGAGGTCAGTGCTGGGCAGGTTCTCCCCTGTGTAGGGCCGCTCGTAGTCTGAGTGTCTGTGGCCTTCAGTGTTCTGTGCTGCGGTGGAGCACAGTCAGTTCAAACCCTCTGTCTTGTCTTTTTTTTTTTTTTTTGAGACAGAGCCTCAAGCTGTCCCCCTGGGTAGAGTGCCATGGCATTACAGCTCACAGCAACCTCCAACTCCTGGGCTCAAGCGAGTCTCCTGCCTCCGCCTCCCAAGTAGCGGGGACCACAGGCGCCCACCACAACGCCCGGCTATTTTTTTGGTTGCAGCCGTCATTGTTGTTTTGGCGGGTCCGGGCTGGGGATTCGAACCCGCCACCTTAGGTGTACGTGGCTGGTGCCTTAGCCTGTTGAGCTATAGGCGCCGAGCCCAAACCCTCTGTCTTTTCATATGACACACAAGAGAACAATAAAAAGAATAATTAAGAGAGAGAACATCTAGAACAGGAATCTTAGGGGGAAAGAAGGTTTCATGTGAAACAAAACAATTTTATTCTAAAATTTTGTTCATTTCAAAAACTAGGTTAATCCCCCCCAAGGGGTAGCTGTCTAGTAGGGAACATGGGACTTGAAGCCTGAGTGACTAGACTTGAGGAGGTACTGAGAGCCAGGGGTCCACGGTGGGAGGGAGGCCCCCTGCAGAGGAGTGGGACTGAGCCTTGGTGGTGGGTAGGATTTTGACTGGGAAATAAAAATCTCATTCCTTTTTTTGAGACAGAGTCTTATTTTGTTGTTCTGGATAGAGTGCTGTGGCATCCTAGCTCACAGCAACCTCAAACTCTTGGGCTTTAACAATCCACTTGCCTCAGCCTCCAGAGTAGCTGGGACTACAGGTGCCCACCACAACACCTGGCCAGTTTTTCTATTTTTAGTAGAGACGAGGTCTTGCTCTTGCTCAGGCTGGTCTTGAACTTGTGAGCTCCTGCCTCGGCCTCCCAGAGTGTTAGGATTACAGATGTGAGCAAGAATCTTGTTCTTAAGATGGATTAAAACCTGTGGTGCTTTGAGCCTTCTCAGAGTGTGCTGTGGATGAGCTCCTGTGCTGTGTGTCAGCCAGCATGCTCAGCTCTCCTTCCCATCACTTGGGTCTGCTGTAGAACTAATGAGGTACCTTTTTCTCTTCTTACAGCCCCTAAGGCAGTGGTTCTCAACCTTCCTAATGCTGCAGGCCTTTAGTATAGTTCCAGCGGTTGCATAGAACCGCTGCTCTAAGGTAATGATGCTAAATCATGTAATGTCTTGAGCTGTATAAAACTGAGGAAGAGGCTCGGCGCC